TGAACCAATGGTGTTCATAGGACCACTGGTGTTCAGATTTATTTCAAGAATTATTTCTGACTCTTGAAATGATAGAAATCAAAACAAAATCCTTGAGATCAGAAGTTCCCATTTCCTACCCTGATTTTGTACTATCTAGTCATGTGTTTAATGGTGAGCCACTTGGTCTCTCTGGGCTATAGTTTTCCCTCTTATGAAATAGGGCAGAGTGGGAGGAATGGGGACATGAATCCATGATTCATTCATCTATTCAAGAAATGTGAACTGTCTTGCTCCTATGGATGCAGCTAAGATAATATATAAGGTATCATGTTGATTTCTTCCAGTGCCAACATTCTTTGTTACTAACTGCAGTGATTTAAGGAAAAAAGGCCAAGTGGCATAGTTTAGGTTTCCTTGATTGGAGCGTGAGTTAAGTGGCATAGAGGAAATATAGAAACATAATCATGAAACAATTAATCTAAGAAATAAAAGAAAGAAAGCAAAACTGCTCAGGACATCCTGTAAGTGGTAAGCCCTGCCTCATCCCCGATCACTTGTTTCTGTCTGTGCTGGTGTCCTGAGGTCACACCCAGTGGCCACCAGCTCATATGTCAATAAAATGGAAATGCTAACAATGAGGACTCTTGAGCAACTTTGAGCTTGAGTAAAAGAGAAAGATTTAACAAGTGAAAAAGCCATGGAAGTGTAGTTCTATGATGGTCTGTGATGAGCTCATTTAATTGCAGAGGAAAAAAAGAGCATTTTTGTTCTAGTCTCCTGATGTTTAGTTCATTTATTTGCCTATTACTTATTAAGCAAGTACCAATGCAAAGAAAGACCATAGTAGGATGCAGATATGCTTAAAATCTATATTGTATATGATACATAGTATACAGTGAATAATATAGTAATATGACCAGTAAATAGTATGAATGGTGTCAGGGGCTTAAAGGAGATTCTGCTTCATATATATACTAAGACTTTTTTAAAAAGCTTTAGGAAAAAAAAAAAATTCCACTTACTTGTCTTTACTTGTCTTTCTTCACATATGTTGATTAACCTAACTGTAGTAGATCAGTAACTGCTAACTCATTTCTTGTCTTGTAAGTAGAGATCTTTGTAAGTATTTTTTTTTTTTTTCAAATTATACTTTCAGGTTTCAAGTGGTAAGAACTCCTTAGGGGGTCTTTAATCTCAAGATTATCAGTCTAGCTAAGTATAATTAAAAGATTGCCTCCTCTGTGTATTGCTGAATAATGATGAGAAACAATAGTGTAGCTTTTTGAATGTTTGCTAACCATTTTCTCCACAGGCAACTTCAGTCAGTGATAAGAGTATTGTAGAGCTATCTGCAAATGTAAGAGGCCAAGAGAGGAACATATTTGCTCCCAGATTTGATCCAATCATGCTAGTTCAGAGTTAGTAGACCAAGGCTATTCTCTAACTCTCTAGTCCAAAATATTATTTTGTAGTTCTCAAACATTTTTAAATTTCTTGGCCCTGCTTATTATTATTCCATTAGGAAAAAAACCTCATCTAGGGAGCTTATTAGATGAATAACTTAAAAATTTAGAAAAGTTAAAAAATATATCAGATTAAGCAAAATGTATTACTTTTTCTTCCCTAGATGAGTTACTAGATTTTAATGATATAAACAAAGTCTGGCTTTATATAGCAAGATTTTGGCATTTCCAGGCTCTCTAGGAAGGCATTTCTCAGTATTTTTTAAAAGGTTAAACTTTACATAACAGAATATTTTTACCTATCATATTAGTAGTACTTTTAAAGGATAAAGCCATATTCTAGTTTAAATTCTTTGAACAGAGATTAAATAATCTAAGTAGCTTAGCAGGTACTGTTCTTAGTGCTTTAGATGGAAATATGAACAAATCTGACCCAAGTCTTTGTGGAGCTCACAATTATATATTTTAGATCTCTGATTTAAAAGACTTCCATAAGACCTTAATTTGAAGGATTTATCTGGTTCTCACTTAAAACTGTGCAATTTAGATTGTATCTGCACATAAAACCTTCATAACCTCTAACTCAACACTTATTTTGATTTGTAATCCATCATTACGTATGCCCCGCTAGTGAGTTTTCATGCTGATTCTCAGCCTTTATTTTTCCTTTGTAAATTTACATTTCCCCCCCATGAATCACTATAGTTTATGTCTATATGAGGTATAATGTCTCCAATGAGGAAAGATGAGATTTTGTGATTGATGACCATATAATATTGTAAAACACAAAGAAATTTCCCAAATCAATGGATGCCAAGGACTTAAGTGAAAAAAAATATTGCTCTGCAAAATAACACTATTGCTTCATTGGATTTAAAAAAAAATGAAACATAACGCCCTTGCTTTATAGGGCCTATATGATCCCCAAGCATTTTTTTTTTCATTTTTTTCCATTTTTTTGTACATTATACAAACGAGACATTATTCAATTAAAAATAAAACATACTACCTTTTGTGCAAACATAGAACAAAATATCTGTCTTTTCCCCATAGAAACTTTGTAAAAGAAGTGGAAAGAGTAAAATGGGTATGGCAAGAAGCAACTGTGTTTTCTTTGAGAACTTCAAGGGGAAAAATCAGCGATGAAAACTGTGGATATGAAATAATTCCAGATAAATGAAGATAAGGCCTTGAAGTAATTCATCCTTGTGTGCTCCCTGCCTAGGTGGTTTTATACAAGCCTGACTCATGAGATTGAGGCCCATCAGACTCTTCATAAAGAATACCTTGTGATCCAAGTGCTCAGACCTGCTGGACTGGTGGCCTGCTACTTTTACGTGAAGTACAGACCAGAATGATTATTATGGAAGCTGGGTTTGGTTTGAGGCCCTATAACTCCAACAAAGTAGAAAACTTGGAGAGAGATCAGAGAAAGCAACAAAAGTGATGAATAAAAGGTTGGAAAATTGAGTATTTATGAGAAAATAAAGCAGAGACAGCTGAGAGAAGTAAGAGGCTATGCATATTTGAAGAGCTATCATAAGAATAATGTTTACTAATTGTGTTTTCTATACCGAGGGTGAAAATCCTATCACCCCCTCTTAAAGATCATTTTATGACTTCTGATTACATTTAGAATAAACACCAAACCCCTTACTCTAGCTTGCAGAGCCCTGTCTGATTTTATGCCTTCTGACGACCTTGCTGAACCCACCTCATTTTACTTTCCACATCCTGTCATCCTTCAGTAGAGTAACCAGCTGTCCCAGTTTGTCCAGAATTGAGGGTCTTCTCTAGATACAGAACTCACAGTTTTAAAACCAAGACAGTCCCAGACAAATGGACTAGTGGTCACCCTCTTTTCTAGGCATGTGAATCATCTCTGTGACTTTCAGTATCTCCTCTTCCAACATTCCTTTGTTTGAAATGATTTCCTTCTGAGTAGCATTTAGGGCCAAATCTGAAAATCTGTGTTGTGTATAAGAGCTTAGTTTTTTTATTTTCATTTTCCTTCTTAGGAATGATTGTCTTTGCAAAAGCTGTTGATAAATCAGAAGGTTGGGCACACCCTAATTGTGGAGTCCTTGGTACTTTCCTCTTCATACCACAGTATGATTTGTGATTCCAAGGAAAAAGTTTTACATAGTCATAAGCAGCTTCGGTTCTTGGTAAACCCACACTCCATGGAACACGTGCTTTGATTCAGCAGTTCTTATACTACCCTGGAATTTTAAGATAAGTGTGTGGGTAGGGTGTCTGTGTGCCCACACACACTTCTGAGTAGCTGGCTATGTGAAGGGAGGAGGAGAGTGTGTCTGTTTTGCTTTTCAATTAAATCAAGTAAAAATGTATCGGCTTTCAGAGTATCTCTCAAATACATTTTTAAAAAATACCTTAGCTACTTCTTGGAAAGAGGTTACTATGATTTTCTCATAGATTTTTTGGTTATGACAAGAATGGAAATATTAACAAATTAAAATTAAATGATATTTTGGAAATCTTCATTAAGATTAGTAACTTAAGTTCTCAACCCTGAAAATTCTAAGACTGAGCCTAGGTCTAACTTAGATAGTGAGATACAAAACCTTTCCATCATGTCAGCCACTTTTGAAGACTATCAAGAAGTCAATTGTTCCAATTCCCTGGTGAGAGATATCATCATTCACACTTTGCATAATAGCAACATGGTCCCAAAGAGTAATAAGTAGCTTACCAAAGACAGCAGGGTTGGTTACAATGTAAATAATATTTATATATGCAAAAATACTTGTCACATGTTAGCACCATCAATGAGATAATGATCTTTACATGAAGGAGGAACTAAATCTAGAATTAATCAAACTCATCTCACCAGTGTAGTTTCAACTCATTTTCTTTAAGTCTATGTCTTTAAGCCAGTGCTGTATTTTTACTCTTTAAGAAACATACTAGCATAATCTCTGAAACCTGACCCTCTCTGATTGATCATGATTTAGCACATTAAATTGCAATAACAGGAAATTTGAAAATTAGTGGAATCCTCAGAAATACTACATTTTATTATTGTCTGCTATCTTACAATATTTTAAAAAGTCTTAAAAGCTGGTGATATCTCTGAATGTGAATCTATAATTTTCTGAAATAACATCAATAAGGTTATTTTGTTTTATTCTAAGAAAATGGTATTCATATCTCCCCCATCCCTACCCCAGTCACTGAAGATACAAATGTGGTTTATTCAACCATGATAATCTATGAAGAATTCATTTCTTATCTTCCAAATTCACTCATTTTTTTCTGAAGCTTGATGAATGAGGTATAAAGCTGTTGACTCTTTCCAAAATATATTGTAAACCATTTTAATTATAAATGGTTTAACATTAAGGATAATAGATACGATTGTTATTTCAGAATTAAAATACTCCACTAGTAAGGATTAAAGATGTATTAGTTCAGCTAAACCTATTCAACCAGATCTTTAATTATTTTTCCAGTGGAATTTGAATTTAATGTTGAAAACATAAAATGTTAGAGCTAGAGGACTTATTCATTATCCAGCCAGGTGTTTGTTTTTCTAGAGAAGATACTATGTTTGTTATCTGCAGAAATATCATTAGAACTGGGGTCTTCAATTTTCTTTCTTCTATACAACACTGAAATATACTTGGTCTTCTACCACTCTTCGCTTGTTGGTCTAGACATGATTATTTTTACATGTTCTAAAATGTTTTCTTCTAGGCACTTTGCAAGCAACCCGTGCCTTGATGGTGGTCGGCATCCTGCTGGGACTAATAGCCATCTTTGTGGCTACTATTGGCATGAAGTGTATGAAGTGCCTAGAAGACGATGAGGTCCAGAAGATGCGGATGGCTGTCATTGGGGGTGTGATATTTCTTATTGCAGGTAAGAAAGGCCCTGCCCGCTTTCTAAGCTGTCTCTAGCATGATTTCATCTTACTAAAATCTGAAGACATAGAAACCTTAAGTCCAGCTGACTTTCACATTCTTAGACAGGAACCAAATGAAAATTTGAGATCTGTGTTCACAGTGGACAGGTGTATTCTTTGAGGTTTCAAGTGCCAACTGGTTTGTTAGAACCAGTCTCTCCAGGTGAAGAGAGATGTCTCCTCTCTAGCAAACACTAAGGAACAATTCTATATAAGTCAGAAAATTTCTGTGGGGTCCCCACAGGTAATATGTGGTGAAGAAGGGAGTAGTGAGAGAGAACATAAGAAATGTGTAAATCATACAGCTGTGTGAGGAATGGATGGAATTTGGATTATTGGTTAAAAAAAAATAAAATGAGGACATCATTCTAGGTAGGCAGATCTGATTCCAGAGTAAACAGGATATACTCATAGATCAGTTAAGAGAAAGACCAGTTGTAGTAGAAGTGGAATGTTGGAATGGTAGGAAATTAGGCCTTGAAAAAACCACTATGATTTGTTGCTTTATTGATGTATTGATTGATGAGATAGATATGTGACCTTTGAGAAAATGATGGAGTCGGAAGAAGACATGACAGCTCTTAGGGAGTGCATCAAAAGTTTGAGGACATTCTCATAGTGTATCTGAGCAGCTAAAAGCACTAGTATTTTCTGTCAAGTATTAGAGGCAATTAGATTGGACCACTTTTTTTCAAGGGGTTGAAGAGAAGAGCATTGAAAGTTTTAATCTGTCTATATTGATGGTTTCTTAGAACTGCTATAAAAGAGTTATTTATTTTTTCTGGATAAGAAAAATTGAGATATTTTATCTTTCTTTTAAATGATAGAATGAATTATTTTGATTGAGTAGTTTCTCTGTTATTACTAAAATATGAAATACATGGAAAATTGAGAGTGTGCTGCATAAATTTATCTGATGTGGCGCTCCAGCAAATCTCAAGGTAATATCTGGCAGGTCTGGCCAGTGAAACTTGAGTGGTTTGGTCCATTCTGAGACAGGTCCTTCTCTTCCCTGCTGTCTAGCTGCTTACTTTCCTTTTGATCCTGCAGAAATGTACATGTTGAGTTTTGGTTAAGACCAATGTTGAAAGGTTTTCATTCATTTTATAAGCGACTCATCTATACTAATAAGGACATTGGTTTTATCAAAATAGTTTAGTACATTATTGTATAATAATATCTTTGAACACCTTAAATGATGTGAGCCTGCTGAATTGTTGCTAAACCAACATTATATGTGCCAGTGACCTTGAACTATAAATAAGATGACATAAAGAGTATAAACTATGCCTAACTCTGACTTAATATTTTTGTCCGTCTTAACAGAATACTTGGAATAAATCATGTCTGAATCTCTAATCTCTCTAAATTAAAAGTGTCTAAATTAAAAATGTTAGGACTATTGATGAGATTTAATTTTTGTAAAATCCTTATAAATTAATGGGCTGTATATTTATGTTCAGGGTTCCATAGTGATTAACAGTTTTTTGTTTTGAATTTCCCAAGGTTTGGCTGTTTTAGTTGCCACAGCATGGTATGGCAATAGAATTGTTCAAGAATTCTATGACCCTATGACCCCAGTCAATGCCAGGTAATGTTATTCATGCGTAAAATAGCTTGTTCTCTGAGAAAATACCCTTTTTATGTTCTGCAAAGTCTAGCAAGTGCCACAGCTTCCCAGATTTGCTTTCTGGATTTTATGTCAAACTTGAAAATAATTTGAATGGCCTGTGACTCATGTTAAAATGAGTTTGATAATTGCTTTAACAGCCTGTATTGATGATAGAGCACACTTAAAGTAGAAAATTTTTCAGCTTTATACTTTGCAACTATGTGCTCGACCTTTATTCTTATTTTTTATATTAATAAAGATATTAATATATTGAAGTTTTTTTTGAAGTTTATTTTGATATACTTAATTGCAATTACTTATAACTAACACAGTTTATGATTGAAAAAAATGGTACTACTATTGGAGTTAATGAATAATACTTCATTCCCAAGTTTAACTTTATTTATAAAAAAGTATAATTTATTTATGAAAAATAAGTCATGATACTACTTTGAAATTTTATGTTCCACCACACCTATAAAATTGACTTTACAAAGGTCACCTTTCTGAATGTTGCAAGTTGTGGAAGTTAAAGGGCTCATTCTTGTCTCTCATGTAATGACACTCTTTGATCAAGAACAAGGCTCTTTGTCTCACTGTGTTCATGTCTTTAAAGCCTAATAACTACATTCAGAGTTAGGATGTTAAGATGTAATTATTGTTTGTTGAGTGCTAGGATGAATGGAGAAAATCCCAGTGGTTGGATAGATAAGGTGTGATTCTTTGTACATAATCACCCACATATAGAACACATAGTGCAATAATTGTGTTGGAGCCTATCCCATAAGATTTACAATGTAGAGACAGAAACTGCTGGAGGTCAATAGGCTAAAATTTTACCAGTAATGGATGTGAAAGCATTTTATAAATTGCTAGGCACTGTACACTTATTCACATTGTCTCACGTGATCCTGAAAGTAGTTCAGTAATGCAAGTGGGATTATCCTGTTTCAAGAGAAGCAGAAACTGAGGTTGAAAAGTGAAGTTACTCACTCAGAATTCTAGCAGTTGAGAGTTCGTATCAGGAACCAAACCCAGGCCTTAGAACTCTAGTTTTCTCTACCCTTATTGTCCACAATCAGTCACAGTTTCTCAAGAGTGCCTTAATACATCCACCTGGATCAGCTTAATCTAGAATGATCTATGAGATGCTTAGAAGTCTTTTTTACAAAACCATAAATTTCAGATTTCAGCATATATTGTTATCTGGTATCAACTATTAAAAACTCTAATAGTTTAACACTAGTAGTTTTTTTATAGAACATGGTTGCTACTTGGCAATAGCATGACTTAAGCTTTAGCCAAGGAACCATAGCCCAAACCTGACTTGGCAATAGCATGACTTAAGCTTTAGCCAAGGAACCATAGCCCAAACCTGACTTCTAAATTATATAAACATGCTTTACGAGTCTCCTACACATGGAAAAGTCTTTGGAAATATTTGTATAATTAACCTGGTGTTGCATGCCATATTGCCTGATCTACTATTGCAAATTATCAACAACTGCAATGTAAACATTCCTGTCTGTGTGTTCATAAACTTGAAAGTACTTCCCCCAGGGACCATAGGGGATTATTTTCAGTGGAAAAAAATTATGAGTGTGATACTTATTTCTTTCCTCAATTACATTAGGAAAGTTATCAGCGATTCGTTAAGTAAATGCATTGCCTTCTCTTTTTAGGTATGAATTTGGTCCGGCTCTTTTCACTGGCTGGGCTGCTGCTTCTCTCTGCCTTCTGGGAGGTGCCCTACTTTGCTGCTCTTGTCCCCGAAAAACAACATCTTACCCAACACCTCGGCCCTATCCAAAACCGGCACCCTCCAGTGGGAAAGACTACGTGTGACACAGAAGCAAAGGAAACAATCCTGTTGGAACAAACAGAAACAAACATGGAAATAGTATCATTGACTTTAAGAACTTAGGCTTTGACTATTGTCATCTGAACTGTGGTATTACTAAAAGAACCCAAGAAACAAAAAAAGATATTTTTTTAAATACCCATTGCTAAAAATGGCTTGGTTTTATTTTAACTCCTTTCCTTAATACAGGAGGGAATCCTTTTCCATTTGTATTACTGCTTCCCACTGAGTAATCATCTCAAATGTGGGGAGGGGACATCCTTATATATAGATATGTATATATGCATGATTTTCTATAAAAAATAGATTAGATAGTAAAATCTCTTCTTATTTGGCAACAGCATACTTAAAATACATCTAAAATATATATTTAAATCTGTATCAATTAAATAAGCAGTTGATTTGGTATGTCTCTCCTTTCTATATGTATACATGTATAATAGATCAGATGTCATTTACCCTCTTTCCTCAGCTTTTAGTGTCTTTTACATAAGACCTAACCTACTATACCAAGTATAAATTCTTTCAATTCTTCACAGGAGCCTTTTTCATATACTTAATTTTTTTTTTTTTTTTTTACCATGATCTTATGGCACTTGCTCTGTTATCAGTCATTCTTCATGCCTTTATTTGTTTTATTAAGTTAAGCTAACTCTTGAATCTAATAACACATTTCATAAGCCTATTCTTTAATTTCTAAAATTGGCAAGAATATCTCACAACTCAGAGCTTTTAGGGCAAATCTTTCTGCATGACCATAGGATATATTTCCATTGACCTTCCCACCTGATCTCTGTACTCTGACCTGCAACACTGTTGTTTGCTTTGAAAATATTTGTCTCATTGCATAGCTGTGTGTTGCTTCTCCAAGCATTGTAACATGAGTTTATTGATTGAGTTTTTAAGCTACTTATTTACAGTTGTAAATCTCCCCCCTCTCTCCTCGGCTATATTGTTTTCTCAGATGTAATTATCATGTAGTTTACCTCTCCCCAGAGAGATATGGACTGTCTCTCTGCATGAAATGCTAGATTTTCTGTAGTGATAATCTGGTGACAAATATTCTCTCTGTAGCCATAAGCGAGTCACTTAATCTTTCTCCTCTTTTCCCATCTGTTAAATTGCAATAATGATACTTAACTAGCTGGTGGAGGTAGTGTGAGTATTAATTAGTTGGTATTATGCTCATTCTTTGAACATTAAATATGTCTAAGTGGTGTTTGTATTTCCTCAGCTGGCTGTTAGAAGTCATCGAACCAAACTTACACACACACCTTCACATTGTTTAATAGCTTCCTTTCTCCTCCAGTTTATTTCCTTACTTTCAGCTGTGCCAAACATGTTGTTGGTGCTCTGTTCCATTTTAACAATTGCTCTTAGTTTTCCAGTCTGTGGAAAATGCTACTTCATTTGAGCAAGATGTTGTAATGAAAAGGGTGTTGGTGTTGGTGTCTGGAGACCTGATTTGAGTCTTGGTGCTATCAATTACCGTCTGAGTTTGGGCAACGCACATGGATGGCCTAGATTTATTGTTTCATCTGTAAAACGGGGATTGTGATTCCTGACCTGCCTACTTCGCAGGGCTTTTGTGGGGATCTAGTGAGATAGAATATATGCAAATGTGGTTTGTAAGGTGAAAAGTACTGTACCAGGAGAAAGAACTAAGGAGTTTAAGTACAAAGATTTTGGATTATTTTTCAAATGACTGAAAAGAGGGAAATTTTAAGAAATGAGTTTCTTATGTTAACCAGTCGCTCAAGTGATAAAGCACTACAGTGAAATTCAGCTTACTAAATGAAGAGGATTCTAAGGAAGTCAATTTCTTCAGACAGTATGACCTGATACATTTTTGTGGCTAAGTTTTTCTCCTTTTAGAAATGCAGACTTGACCTAGAACAAGTCTGTAGATATAACGGATAAAACAGAAGTGTAACTGTTGACAAAGCCAAAGTATGAAAGATTTTTTGAATTCTAATAACTTGCAAGGATATTTAAGGTGATATCTGTTAAGCGATGCCTTCGGAGGTGTTGCTTTTAGCTAGCAGCTAGCACAGCAAGGATAGTTTGGGAATGGTAATTCATAGTAAAACCATGTGGAAGTTATCCAAAGGACTGCATCATATGAGGATTTGAATACATTAAATTTTAGTGTGGCTTCCAAACCTGAGAGTCTATGCTTCCAGAAGGTATCACTCAAAGAGCCTCTGCTACATATGTAGATCTTAATGATGTGTGAGTGTAAATACATGTGGTTACTATTTGCTAAATTCTACAAAGAAATCAGTAATTCAAAATGACCAACAGAATTGTTACACCAGAATTTATTCAATTTTGATGTTTTTGTACTCTGTTACTATACTTGGAAACAGACTCAAAAGATATTTTTGGTTTTTGTAATGGAAATTTGTATAAAGCATTATTCTTTTTCAATAAATTGTTTTTTTTTTTTTTTTAAATAAAAACATAGCTCCTTGGCTTGTTTTTCTAATTATTATTTTAAGATTGCCATGCTTGGAAAAGAGAAGATGACTTGGGATAGGATCTGACTCACTCTGTGTTCTTGGGAAAGAGCTATGGTACCTCTGGGCCATTTATCCAATATTTGAGTGATTTTACCCACTAGAATGTCCTGTTTCTCTCAAATTGAGATTCTTTATTATCAAGGCTAGTCATAGAAAAGAATGCCAGGAGAAGTTATTTATTTTTCTTCATCTATCAAAAAGGAACATACTGCAGTAAGGGACTAAATGATAAAACAGCCAACTGTAAAGCACTGTGCAAGTTTAAGGTGGCTGTGTTCCTTACAAGGTGGAAGAGTGAAAGACAGTAAGCTAGAGATCCATTATTACTTTTGTAATGATTATTGTCAAAACTACCTCTTAGGAAAGCAAGTGATGAAATGCATTCTCATTATCTGAAAATATCAGTAATTGATAAAGCCTTAATTATAACCTCTCCCTGAGCAATTTTCATATTGAAGAGACTGGCTTATAAATAAAAGTTTGCAGCAATATATGAACTCTCAAGCATTAGCATGATGGGTGAGAGACTAAGATTATTTTCAGTTTGATTTAAACGTCTCTTAAATTAAGCAGATACACCAGAATCCTCTTTCTACAGATTTAAATCTCTAGGGGATGAGATTCATGCCAAGGAGGCCAGTGTAGCTGGAATGGCTCAAGCTCAAAAGAGTAACAGGAGATGAAGCCATAAAAGGAAGGAGAGTCTATACTGCATGGACCATTGTAAGGGCTTCATCTTTTCTCAGAATAAATGGGAAAGATATTGTTAGGTTTGAGCAGAGGAAACACAAGATCTAAATTATGATGTAATGTGATTATTTTTATCTATTGTGTGGAGGGTAGACTAAGAGGGCAAGGAAAAAAGCAATGAGTTCAGGTAGAGGTTATTGCAATAATCCTGGCAAAAGATGGCTTGGTGATAGCAATGGGTAGTGAGAAGTTGTTAAATCTGGGTATTATTTTAAAGTAGAGTCAACAGTTTTTGCTCATCAGCTGGATGTGAGGTGTAAGATTAAAAAAAAAAAATGAGTTAAAGATAACTCCAAGATTTGAGGCCTGAGCAATAGATGAGAGAGAGCTACCAAAAACCAAGAAAGCGAAGACTGTAGGAGAGTAGGTCTAGAAGAGAAAATCGAAATTTCACTTTGGACATGTTAAGTTTAAGATGCCAATTCTGCATCAAAGTAGAGATGTCCAGTAGGCAGTAGGAAAAACAAAAACAAAACAGAAGTATAGAGAACTGGAATGAAGAAAGGGTTTTCAAGAGAAGAATTAAACATCAGTTTCATATGGTTTATCACGTTGAAAAATATGCCCCAATCTTTGGACATTTAAGTTGACAGCTATAATCACTAGCCTAAAAGGTAAGTATGAATGAGAAACAAACCTATTTACCTATTATTGAATCTTTTATCATCTTCCTAATTACTTAGCCCATTATTCTTCTTAAGAGTTTTCTCAAAGAAGTCTGGTATATTAGAGTCACAAGCCTAGCTCTGATGTGGACCTTTACTAGCTCTACTTTTTAATTATTACATTTTAATAATTTAATGTCACTGAAACCAAATGTGTCAGAATACCAGTTTAGGTATTCTGGGAAGCAAGGCCCCAGGACAGAATTAGACTTGCAAGCAATAAAACACTAATGTCTATGAAAGAGGAAAAAATATGTTATGAAACGAATTCTCAGCCAACTTCCATTTTTATGTGTCATTGGATAGAATGGTTTCTCATGGTTGCATTCAGCAGCAAATGAAGTTAGGATGTTTAGTTTCATAGATGGGCACATTACTGCCCATTAAAATCAGATTTTGCCTGCCTCATTAGCTCTGTGGCCTTGACCAACTTACTAATATCTCTCATTCTCAATAATAATATGTTTTCAACTTAACTCACATGGTTTTAGTAGAAGTAAAATGACATAATATGTGAGAATGGCCTTTGTAAACCAAAAATACTGCACAAATATAAGGGATTAGTGTTCACAGGAATAATAATTCTTTTGGTTAAACGGAAGCCTTTATCTTGACAATTTCAAGTACACAGTTAATTGGGTAGGGTCCTTTCCCTAATTTCAGAAATCAACCTACCACACTATACATCTTCCAGTATAATATATGGACTCAGTATTGAAAGTCCCATGTTACAGAATTAAGAAGCCAAATGTCACAATATATCATATAGACAAGCACATTTCCTGATGATGTGACTTTCAGAAAAGAATAAAACAGAAAAAGTAGATGCAATAAAAATAATGCCTAGTGAAGCCAGTTCACTATTTTACTTTTTGAGATGTTGGAAGCAAAGCAATGTTACTGAAATATCAGTAAAACTACCAACTCTTCAGTTCAACATTTATTTAGGGCTTACTACGTGCCAAATCCTGATCCAAACACAATTTTGCATAGAGAAGTAGGTAAGACATATAGTCTCTGCCTCCTCAGAGCTACTTTGTTGCAACAAAGGAGTGGCACCATTCTCACTGTGGTCTATGTGAACAACGCCCCCTAGAGTTCACATAAGGGCTACACGTAAGGGCCCCAAAAACAGAAATTCTGAGAAAAATATAAATATACATCAAATAGGATACAATTCAAGTTTTGAGAAGAACCTTGAATGACCACTAATAATCAGGGGAAAACAATTTCATATTCTGCAGAATGTGAAAAATCGTAAAAATCCTAAATTCTAAAAATACCAAGTGTAGACTAAGATATAAAGAAATGGATTCTCCTCCTTATCTGCAAGCATCAATGTGTAAACTGCTATAGAGAGCCAGTTTCAAAATATCTAGTAAAAGTAATCCATTCACTGTAGTCCAGCAATGTTGAGATATATACCCTTGAGAAACTAATGCAAATGCATATTGTAATTTTGTTATAACAGAGAAGAAATTATTGGTATTAAGTGTTAAAGGGAGCCCAGAAGTAGGGAGCAGTTAATAGCCTCAGAGTCTGAGAAGGCTAGTAGAAAAGGAAATATTGAGGGGTGGGCAAGATTCTACCATTTGACCATTTCACTCCACCAGCTACTATAATCCAACCACAATCATCCTCCCAACAGGTCCCCCACTTCCAGTCCTGTGTTCTACAGTCTATTCTCCAAGTAGTAACAGGAGTGATCCTTTGAAGACATAAGTTAGATAATTCTCCTGTCTCTTTACTGTTCTAAATCTCCCAGAATTTCCAACAAATTTAAATAAAATCTGACACTAGCTACCTTCCCATCCTCATATCTTACCACTGTCCTCCTAAATCATCCTGCTCCAACAACTCTGGTCCCTTTGCTGTTCCTGTGATACAATCTGCAAGCGACTTTCTTAAATTTATTGTTTTTCTCCCAGAAGAATCACAAATATCACAATATTATAAAACACTTGTGTGATTACCCTGTATAAAATAGGGCTCTATCATTCTTTATTCCCTTGTCCTGCTTTATTTTTTCTTATAACATGACAAGAATGGAAGAATATATATTTATTCACCTGTTAGTGTATTTTCTGTCTGTCCCACTGAATAAATACTTTCTGAAGGCAGGGAATTTATACATTTATATATATTATCTATGTTAGTTCATCACTGTATCACAGATCTCTAAATAAGTACCCATTCCATAGTCGAGTTTAAATAATTAGTAAATAAATTAATAAATTGAAGAATAGTGATTAAGTAAATGAAGAGCATATGAACCAAATTGGACCAAAGGGTCTCCATTCTTTTATTATAATTATTAGGAAATAAAATTCTAACATAATCATTGATCTCCTCATACGAATAGGTAAATTGAGATGTGGAAAAAGGAAGAGTTTAGACCAAACTAGCAAAATTAATGATGGAGACAAGATTTAAGGTTTGGATCTTCTGGGTCCAAATCCTGTGTTTTTTTCCACTCTATTGCTCAGCAGTCTGCACAAATAGATTCAAACTCTCCCATGATTTCAGTTTGTTGTACATTTACAAAACAGCCTAGTATGAGGGCCAGAAATCCTAGGAAATTAAGTAGGTTGAGATGAAGTTCCCTGTGTAATTTAATCTTTTTAAATTTAAACTGCTACCTCACTGTGCAGGAGTCCAGCTCAGAAAAAAAGAAAAAAAAATTCCTCTAAAGAAAATATCAGGGTTAATCCTCTCAGTCAAACTTAAGCTATAGGTTTGCTAGAGAAAGGAAAATTCTTTTTATAAAGACCTGTTTGTTTGGTTTTTTCCTCAGAAACTTGTAACATTTATGCTTTTTTCCCCCGGGTTATTACACGTCATAAATCTTTTAATTCCCTGCATCCTGATGAATGTAACCCAATCACTGTTTCTGTTCCTTACTGTGGACCTGACAACCTGACAACAAGCTCCATCTTGGGACTGTCAGTGAACTATAAGATAATATACGGCTCAGTACCTGACACATAGTAGGTTTTTGAAAACGTCTATTCTTTAAGTATGAACATGAATGTGTCTTGCTTATAGAATTATAAAAGTTTGTAGAAGAGTTTTTTAATTTTTATAATTTTCAAGGTCTGAGACAATCATCTCAGTTGAATTCCTGTGTTTTTAGTATATATAAAAAGATGATAAAAATAAATGTAGAAAAAGCAGTCTTCACATAATATTTCAATTTTACCAGAGAAAAGAAAACATGAAATTTTCTGAGAGACTAAGTTTTAATCCTCAAATTTATTACATTATTATTGAGCCTACTTAGACATTTTCAAAAACTCTAATTTTTATAAGCTATGTGTTTTATGGTTTATATTAAACTATTTAATATGGTAGAAACAATGTAAGTAAAACCTGAATCTGCAAGAACCAATGACTTGGTCGTCAGGACAATATTAAGTTAAAGAATGTTGCTCTTCAGATGAATGTTATTTTTTTAAATTGAGAGACAAAAGTAATATTTATTGAATATATAATTTATA